AAACAATGTTCTTGGGTACCCAACCCTTGCATCTGGTCTCAGAATGAGGCCAGCCTGCTAGTATTTCAAAGGGCCAAAAATCTTTGAGGCCTAAGGGAGATCCAGCTTCTCAAATAGTATCTGGAAAATAATCATTTTCCCAAAAGTCTGCCTGTGGCAAGATAGATCGATAAGCAAGGCTAAAGTACACTCTCAGGGGAATTCTCTGCCACTGCATAACTTGCGCAGAATTCATGTTTTGCACAGAATGTCATTTTTCCCCCTAGAATTGGTGCTGCAGAGCTGCTGGCTGCCACTAGGGGCCATTGAACCCAGAAGAGCCCAGCTCTCCGGCTCACAAATACAGGACACTGCTGGGGGAGGGGACAGCTGTGGTTCCTGGCACATCCTGAAGGAAGAAGACGCCATGCAGGAAACTCCATACAAGCCCGAGACTCAGCATCAGGATGTTTATCCCTTGGATTCTTAGGCTCTGTGTGGTAGGGGCTATGGGTGTCTGGGCTTGGGCCTGCCCCACAGCTGGGCTCTGGGGGGGTAGGTGTCTGGTCTTGGGGGCACCCTGCAGCTGGGCTCTGGGAGTGCGGGTATCTGGGCTGAGGGCATCCCATGGCTGGGCTCTGGGGGGTAGAGGGTGTGGGTGTCTGGGCTGGGGTGTGCCCTGCAGCTGGGCTTGGGGTAGGGTGTGTAGGTGTCTGGGCACCCTGCAGCTGGGCTCTGGGGGCAGTGGATGCAGGTGTGTGGGCCAGGGAGTGTCCTGCAGCTGGGTTCTGGGAGGGGAGGGTGTGTGTGTGTCTGAGACTAGAGGGGCAGAGTTTCCCCCCTAAGATATACCCAGGTGGCACATGCGAAAACACCCAAACTGAGGCACCCAACAAAAGCATAACAGAGAAACAGGAACTGGGTTGTCGTAGGGGCTTCTTTAACTCTCTACTCCTGGGGGAACTGGGTTTTGTTGTCTCTATTGTTACAAACATACTTGCTGACAGATATTTGAAATAAATTACCAAAATAATTGAAAATGGTATGATTATATGGTGTTATTTTGACAAAATATACAGAATTTTCCAGAAATTTAAAATATTGTGCACAGAATTCCCCCAGGAGTAAAAATAGTCCTCAGTCAATAGGAAAGGTTCTTTGGCAGATATTTACACCCAGCATATAGGAGTGTTTTATGCAAGGTGAAAGGGTTCTATCTGCCTGTGGCTTGAAACAGAGCGGTTGCATGTCTGTTGATTCTCAGTTTCCTGCCTTTGTTAGTACACCATTTTAGTCTTAGCTTTTTCAATTTACTTTATTTAGAAGGATCCCTCCCCCCACTTCTTTTATTGGTTCATTATCACCCGGGGTTATGCGAAAGGCCCCAGAGTTTAAGCCCTGGCACGGGTCTTTTCCTATTAGTGATTGGCATTCGAGCTGAGGCCAGCTACATTCAGGAACACTAGAGCATTAAATGTCATCCTTTGTTGCTGGAAACCCTTCAGAAGAGAAGCAGCTCTAACTAACCACTACTACTTTGCTCCTGTTTGAGATGCAGTGTGTATACCATTAAGAACAGGAAAAATGTCTACATCCCATCTGGAGAAGACAGGAAGGGATAAGAGGGAAAACACAGAATGGCATTGGCCCTTCTGCAGAAGAAGGGCAAGAGAACAAGTTCTACCCCCCTCTCAGCAGCTAGGAGTGGTCAGGGACACTTAGGCCTCCATACTAGGCCACAGCATTTAGACCTGGCTTTGGGAGTAGGGCAGGGGGAGGACATTGATATTTTCATGGGGCTAGTCTTATTAGAGCAAACCTTATTAATATTATACTCATCTAAAAGGGTACAAAATAATAAGGCATTGAATGCAAAAGATGCTGACAATTTAAAATGTTACAAGTGACTAATTTCCCATTTCAGTTTATTTTTAGTGTTTATAACAAATGCAAGAAGAGCCAAATTATTTTTTCCACTTAATGTCATTAAAGCAACACTTTCATCTTGAATGTTAAGCTAAGTAGCCAAGTTGGATAGAAGGCCCTTTAATAGCATGCCTAGTGTTCTTTCTCTGAAGTTTATTTATAAAAAAAAAAAAAAAAAAAAGTTATTTAGGGAGGAGAGACTGGGTGGGCCCAAGAACAGCAAAATGGGCTCCCCTCTCTATGCACATACATGTCTGCCTGCTCTTCAGCAGCACCATAACTCCTCTCTGGGAACTGCAGAGGAGTCCCTGCAAGTAAAGAACTCCCCACTCCTTTCCTCCTGACCCCACCCCACTAATCCCTACTTCCTATAGGGATCTGGAGGCCTCTCTCTGTGAACTCCCTGCTTCAGAGAGAAGAGGGCTCCCCCGGCCTTCATGGACTTCTGTTACTCCCCAGCCCCATTCATGGGGATAGTGACTGAAGAAAGGGATTGTGTGAAACCCAATGTTTCAGTTCTGTGGAAAAGTCTAGGGAGTGCATGGAGCTACCCATGCCCTTGTTCAGGGACTGGGAGAGGAAGAGGTTCTCCACTTTGGAGGAAGCCCCAAGTACCAAAGAGTTTTAGAAGTAGAAATAAATAGCTCCTAATCTGATTTTAAAAGATTAGCTGAATCACTAGATTGTTAATGTACTCTGTACAAAGCTGAGTATGAACTAATATGACTGTTTTCTACTTTATTATCAGCCTTATAATTTCTAGCAGGACCAGAAGATCCGAGTTGCAAGCAGACAAAGGAACAGCAGGAGTCTTCAACAGCTGTTCAGTGTGACCAGTGAAGGATTTTAAAAGAGGATGCATGTCCCCTTTGCTTCTTTATGTTGTAAGAAACAAGACTGAAATGAGGTTTTCTGCTGTTTATTTTCTAAAGTTATTGATTTGTACCCAAGAAAGCTCAGGAACATTAAGACTATTCTTCCCTATTTTGCTGGAAGACTTCAGAAATGTCTATTGTCAGCTCCCACACCTTAACTGGAGGGAGAAATCAACAAGATGCATCTTTTCTTCCAAACGTTTATTGATGTAACATGTATTAAACAAAACAAAGTTGAATCTCTTGGCCTCAATTACTCAGCTTGCAGTGACTTATTAACCATTTAGATTGTGGCTGTGCCCAAGATGTGCTTGGTATTTTCCAACCATGTCCTTTGTAATGTCAATTTTACAAGTTGAAGTAACTATAAAATTTTCCAGGGTAGACATGACCTGGTGCTCTAATGTTTGAAAAGAAGCAGAAAAAAACCAAACAGCCTTTTTGAACAAAGTTGGGCATTTTTTATACTTGAAAGAAACAAAATAGGACCCAAGTCCAATATCCTCCCACCCTGGAAGGTCTAATTTTTTTTCTCATTTAGTACAACTACTTAATACTTACACTTTTTCTCAGAACCAGAGATTCAATCATAATAGAAGAGCACAGGCTGCTTCTAAAAACTAAGTGTTCCCTGCGTGTCTTCCCGTAGTACTGATCTTCATGTCCTGATAGGGACCATCCAGATGCCTTCTTTATTGTGATTACTACAACTGTAACCTCAAGAGATTACACAGCTTCTCAATTCACATTAATCAAAGTTTTGAAATATATTCCAATCTTTTTAAATCTGCTTTAAAATTTTCTTTTTGATTTAAGCTAAAGTCAGTAGGTTTCCTTTAAAAGGCGGGCCACATTGAGCCCCATGATGTCACTTTCCAATGTCATCTTAGTGATTTTTATACATATTTTATTAAAACTTTTACAAGTTACACTAATTTTACAGCTACCCACCCTGCAAACCTTGCCTGGGCTCTATAAGTCAAGTTATGTTCTGCCTTCTCATGCATAAATCACTAGTAGTAGAGGTTCTGCAGGCAAAGAGTAGCCCTATGGGTTAACAACTATAATTTTGTACTCAGTTCTGTTGAGAATGTAGAAGGAATTGAATCCAGCTTACACTCGGAGTTGTGCTGACTACAGGACTAACAGAAGTACAAACTTAGCAACTAATTTAAGCAGACGCAATTCCAAATACACAAAAAGAGAGCTGTTGAGTACCCTGACACCATTCTTACCCAATGATTTTCATGGTAAAACTGCATTTTAAAAATGGGAGGTCAGTTGTTCATATTTGCAACTTATAGGAGACATACTCAGCAACATGACTCAAAAATTTTAAAATGAGACTTGTATTACAAAATAATTCCTTAAACATTTTTGGCCCAAATGCTATCAACTGGCATCAGGATAGGTATATTATGACCACCAAATATAAAAACCATCATATCTTCTGATACTAAAATATTTTGGAATTTTTTAAAATAAGACAAGATACTTTACATTTACATATTACAACCATCAGAAATTAAAATTAACAACTGATTTAGTAATTTGCATTTCACTAGACTGATGAATTTCAGTTTTAGGTTATCATACACTAGCAAAATATATACTCCAAATTTATACCATCAAATGGAAATGTTTCAATAAAAAGGCTTGTTGAAAAAAATTCAAAAATACTCATTCATATTAGGTTTTCCAATATTAAAACCTAACTATTGTGTCTAATTTACTTAGCTATGTACTTAGGGTAACTAAAGCATTAATAAAGAGGCTATCAAAGAACTGTAGTGCTTGCTCTGAAATAGAGAAAACCCAAATATTATCCTTTCAGTGTTGAAAACATTAGCTCTCTATTAAAGATTTGTGTTTTCAAACTAGTAGTGCAAAATATCCTAAGGGCTGGTCCACACTAACCCCCCAGTTCGAACTAAGATACGCAACTTCAGCTACGTGAATAACGTAGCTGAAGTCGAAGTACCTTAGTTCGAACTACAAGGTACTTACCACGGGTCCACACGCGGCAGGCAGGCTCCCCCGTCGACTCCGCGTACTCCTCTCGCGGAGCAGGAGTACCGGTGTCGATGGCGAGCACTTCCGGGATCGATTTATCGCGTCTAGACAAGACGCAATAAATCGATCCCAGAAGATCGATTGCTTACGGCCGAACCCGGAGGTAAGTATAGACATACCCTAAGAACTTAACCAGATTTTACTTACCTATTAGAATGCTGCAATATACAGTGGTCCTCACATAGATTACCCTTAACATCTGTAAAAAAGAACCAAAACCAATCACTACACTAAGCTAGAAACATACAAGAACCAATACACTGAAATGTATTTTTGCATACTAAGATGGACTTATAGTTCATGAAGAAGGTTCCTACACACTTCAGTGAGGATTTCGGATGATGAAGAGCAATCTCTGTGCCTCAGTTCCCCCATCTGTAGAACAGGAGTCATATTTTCCTTCTTTGTAAACTGCTTTGAGATCACTGATGAAAAGCACTATATGGAGGAATGGTATGATGGGACTGTCTACAATGGCATGTGGCCCATTGGTGACTGAGAGTAGCAAAAATCCCCAACAGCCAGAGACGGGACACTAGATGGGGAGAGCTCCGAGTTACTACAGAGAATTCTCTCTCAGGTATCTTCCTGGTGGATCCTGCCCACATGCTAAGGGTCTAACTGATCACCATATTTGGGGTCGGGAAGGAATTTTCCCACGGGTCAGAATGGCAGAGACTCTGATGAGTTTCCCCTTGCTCTGCAGCATGGGGCACGGGTCACTTGCAGGTTTAAATGAGTATAAATGGTGAATTCACTGTAACTTGAAGTCTTTAAACCACGATTTGAGGATTTCAGTAACTCAGCCAGAGGTTAGGGGTCTATTTCAGGAGTGGGTGGGTGAGGTTCTATGGCCTGCAATGTGCAGGAGGCCAGACTAGATGAGCACGATGGTTCCTTCTGACCTTAAAGTCTATGAGCTAGATATTATCACTGTTGTTACTGATGCACTAGAGTGTAAAACTAACTTTAGCTATTGAGCATTTAAAAGATCAAGAAGCTAAAAATAGCTAAACATATGCAAGCTGAACTGATCACATCAGGTATTGTTTGGCAAGACAAAGATGATTGAAATACTTTCAATAGTTTCAAAAGCAAGATATGCTAAAAGGAGCAGACTGAAGTACCCTACCCCAAGATCTTCATTCCATAGGGCTGGTCTATACATGAAAGTTATTCTGGAATACGTAAGTGTAAATTTAAAGCAAAAGAGCTATTCCAGAATAACTCCATGTGTGGACACACATATTCTGGAATAAAGTTCCTTTTCTGGTTTAGCTTAATCCACTTCCAAAACTAATTTGGAAAAGGTCACTTATAGCTATTCTTAAATACCCGCATAAACAAGCGAAGATTGTGTGTGCATACTTCACTTTAAGGTCTAGTTTTCTCCATCATGTACACAATGTTAATGTTAGTTACACATGCACCTAACAGAAAGCATGATTTTGAGGAACTAGTCCTACAATGCTTACATCAGCAAGATTCTCACTGAAGTCTACACAATTACAAGAGTTACTCCTGGGGGAAATTATGTCCCCTGCAGATTCCCCCCCGCAGAAAACACATTCTGTCCAGAGGTGCTGCAATTACACCTTTCACAGACCAGGGGCTGCTGTGGTGCCAGAAGAGAGGGCGGTGGGTTCAGGGCCAAAGCAGCCGGCCATGGAGAGGGAGGGGGCAGTGGCTGTCTTCCTCACAGTGCCTTACCCACAAGGCCAGCTGGGGGGCAGACAGAACAGGGCACAGAGGGCTGCTGGGGGTCACAGACTGGGGTTCAGATGAGCTGGTGGGGGGG